GCGCGGAGGGCGAGGATGGAGCAGAGCTCGAGGCGCGAGCGGGGCGCCCCCCAGCAGGACGCGGGTAACGTGCTGGCGGGTGGGCAGGGTGGAGGCAGGAGCCCCGGGGTACACACAAAGCTGGTGTAGCCCTCAGGTTGTGTCTTCCCTGGCCGCCTCTCTCGTGTTTACAAACTTCGAAAGGAACGGGTAGGAGAACCGGCCTGGGCGGAAAGCTGGCTAATGAGACTTTTATTTGCCTTGTTTAATTGCCAATATCACCCCCCCAGGGCATGGCCCAATCATGGCCCCACAAGAAATTAGAGCCTACCTCACCTCTCCTTAATTATGCGCGCTGGGCCCATTCGCAGCCCAACAAGGGGAATAAAAGTTACTAGGTTTTAGTAGGGCGGTCATTAACGTTTGAGGACGTTTCATTAAACGTGCTCTAGGTAGTGCATCTCTGAGTACGGATTCACTCCTGTGATCCTGCAAAGATGTGAAACCGTGGTTTTGTGGGCGGTTCCAGAAACAATTCACTTTAGGGGTCCCAGGGGTGGGACACGCTCTGCAGCATCTCTATTGGTTTCATTAAAGGTTGTGTACCAATGCACACCGGGAGTAAAAGGAAAAAAATCTCAGGCACAAGGGTAGTTGCCTTCAAGTAAGCATACATAGGATCCGGCTTGCTCAGCTTCCCCAAGTGAAGTGTCCGAAATGAAAATGCTGGGACCTGAGTGGGCCTCGAGGTGATGTTAACATGACAAAAGGAGTCAAGCCTAATGGCCATTGTAGTCTAGACGTTTGGGGCCCGTTTTGGACAGAGTCATATGCAGAGCTGTTTTTTCACTAAAGCAGGGGGAGGGGGGTCTCATGATTCAAGGTGACCTTGGACACCCCCTCCCACCCCCTACACATTTGCAAGAAGGGGAATGAAATACTGTAGGAGAAGCCTGGCCCCTTGCTTTACGGAGAAGTGAAGCAGATACCAAGGATAATTTCATTTTCCTGCTTCTAGTTTTCCAGAGCAAAAGCACGTTTAGGCCAAAAGCATGAAGTACTTCCACTTTCTGTTTCATGTGTGAAAACATCATAGGCTAACACTTGGAGTTTAAAGATACTTTTGTCCCTTTGAGCAAAGATATATGGCAATGTAGACCTAACAGAACAGCTATTCTTCCACTGTTCCCATAGTGACTTGATGTAAAGAAGCCAGAAAAAAGTGGGTTAAAATCAATATTTTTGTTGGACAATAATACTACACTGCTACAGAAAATCACTACTGTTACAGTACATTTTGTCAACTTCATGTCCTCCAGGAGGAGTTGACTACAAAGTAGATCACTCAGAAACAATGTTTGGAGGTGGTGGTAGTTATAGCAGCAGGTTAGGAAAGGCTGGTCTCCGCTGTGATTTATTCTTACAATCAGTCCTTGCATCTCTTGGTTACAGTGTGTGCATTTCCAGGCTTTCTTTAAAAAAACACTATGAGAACTAATACTTTAAAATATAAGCTAAAATCCTGTTGCATACCATATCAAGAGAAGGGGATGACAGAGGATGAGATGGTTGGATAGTGTCATTGAATACCAACATGAATTTGATCAAATTCCAGGAGGCAGTGGAAGACAGGAGGGCCTGGCATGCTCTGGTCCATGGGGTCCCGAAGAGTTGGACACGACACAACAACAACAACATACCATAGCAAATGACACTAGAGTAGACCCATTGAATCAGTGTGGATTTTGTGAGTCAGCCCCTTTCAAATAGGCCTATTCTAGTTGTGGCTTGCTTTAGTGTAGTGACGTGCAGTTAGAGTAGGCAAATTGCAATCAATGGAACTTACACAGAAGTTCTCACTGATTCAGTGGGCCTACTCATTGCAAATTACTTTGCTAAGCAACAGGATTTCAACCATAGAGTCTGTTTTAAAGGTGGCCATATGTCTTTTCAGGAAAATCATTCTCCATATGAAGAAGATATATCAGCCTTTTTGAAGATATATAAGGGGCCACCCGACCACTACTGAACTTCCCTGGTTGAGCAGAGAAACTTTGATTGAAGAATGTATCTAAGCAGTCCTATTTCATTTTTAAAAGTAAAATTGTCCAGGGGGTTGTTTTGTAGGAAAAGAAATAAGCCACATATGGTGATACAATTACTGATGAACAGCAGGAAGGACGTGGCCTGACATGAACATTAGATATGTACATTCTGAAGCCACTGTTTCAAACCATTCCTCAGAAATAACTCATTATTGCCTGGCTAGATATTTCAGCAAAACTACAGGGACCTCTATTTATTTTACAGATTGATTGATCAATAGATTGATTTCCAGTGATCTGCAGAAAATACAAAGCTCAGGGCATTTGAGAGAGCTATTGGACACTGTACCTTGTTTATTTGCTTTGATTTCTAGCCCATCTTTATCTCAGTGTCACAAGGTTGTTACCTAGTCACAGTCTTTTACAAGATGTGACAGTTATTGAAGTGTGGGAATTTAGGAACTTGAGCCCTGGAGTTTTTTGTTTGTTTGTTTGTTTTCTGTTTTGTATTTCTTCCCACTGCCTTGCTCCATCTGCCCTAAATTTAAAAATCTATGGCTGCTAGGTTGAAATGGCTGTGCAGATTAAAGCAGTTTATTCTTCCGGGGGGGGGGGGAATGGTACAATTAGGTTTGGTAGACAGAGAGTAAATGTTCATATTGAGAAGCAGTCAAACTTATTCTTAAATCACATAGTGAAGCCTGCTTTCACCAATTACAGTTTCAAGGTATTTAATATTAATTTAGTTATTCTTTAAGGGCAATGTAGTATTTATATTTTTTTTTAAAAATCCAGTCTAAAATTTTAAAATTGCATGTGTAAGTGTGTAATGCGTGTTCTATTTACTCAGAAAGGAGTGCAAAAAGAAGCAAGTGCCACCTCTTTCCCTACCATTCTTGACTGCAGTCTTTTGATTTAAGCAGTTTTTTTCTTCCATCAGTATCCCTTTTTTGCTATTGGAACTGGGCTTAGTGAAACCTGCCCAGAGTGGGGGGAGCAGAGCAGAGTGAGGGAAGGTGAAGAGCCCATCTCTGGGTACATGTTTTAATATCACCCCTCCTGTTCCTGCTTTGTTTGGGGAAAAGAGGCATACACGAATGGTTTCTCCAGTACTCCAGGTTTGGCCCTAAATGGAGGTGAGTGAATCCTTTTGAGAAAATTCTCCAGTTGGCTTCCATGAAACATGCATCAGTAGTGAACTGGCCGTAGGCACAACCAACCTGTAAAAACAAACTTCATGTGTGCCAGCAAGAGTTCTGTATACGGTGCTGTTGTATCATTGAAGGATACAAGGTTCAGTTATCTGAACAGTAGTGGGATTGAATGGCTCACTGCAATGTTTGATATGTGTCTTTAGCAGAGCACATATTACACTACAGATTAAATTACACTATTCTATAGTATATAGATTATACTGGGGGTCCCTGCACAGGTGGCGTTAACATGGGCTAGACAGTCCACTCACCAATCCACTGTGGACACGGATGGTGCAATTCTACCAGTGGCTCCACAGCGCACGATCCGCTCATCACTCCTGGCAGGAGGTGGGAGGACAAGTGGTAATTTCAGTGCTACGTTTTTGAGCAAAACCTTTTTTTAAAAAAAATATTAAAAAATAGCCCCCTTTTTTCTTTTTGCAGCAAGCAAGGAAGAATTTGAGGAGCAAGAAGGGAAGAGACTGAGGGGGCCATTGTTGTGCTCAGAACAATTTGCTCACAATGAGAAACTTGTGAGTGAAGTTGGAATCGGAAATAATATGGTGTCTATACACCATACTGTTATTATAGAAGATGAATCTCAGAAAGCTTTGGAGAAAGGAGAGGACATTGCAAAGGAAGAAGAGCAGAATGTGCACTGTTCTACAGGCAGGCAACCTGAATTACTTGCTCCACAGCCATCAGTTTTGGATTCTCATCAGCTCAGTTTCACAAACATAGGTAGGCACCTACCTACCCATTTCAGTGATATGAACACTGATCCCCCTGTTCCAGATCCTGAACTGAACCAAGACGTTACTGGCCAGCCAAAGTCACAGGGGCAAGCAGATAAAGATGCCATGAAAAATCAGAGCATTCTTGCAACAGGTTCTCTAAAAGCATCTCCTTCTGCTCTTGGAGACCTGCATCAACCAGAGCAAATTCAGGGCATGAATCAGAATCTAAGCCTGGGCCATGTGACTCGTAGATCAGCCAGGTGTGCAACAGTTAATTGCACAGGTCTGCAGTCCTACAGGCTTTCTTCACTCCAGGTTTCCAAGAGTGAGCCAGACAGCACCAAAGAAAAGGAAAGTTCTCCAGAACCTCCAGAGGAACCTGCTCCACCTGCCCGGAAAAAGACACGTACATTCTACAGTGCTGGTGAGCTATTTTTAAGAAATGTTACCAACAGTACTACCAGGTTAGGTTATTAAGAATAGATTCATACTATCTGGTGCATTTGCTCTCTATAGTGTCTGAATGGTAAGAGATTCTTAGGGTGGTCACTGTAGGATGTATATCTTTGTTCCACTCTGCTGCTCATTCTTTTCTAGATATGTCAGTAAGGAAATAGTGCCCTCCCCCAACCCCCAAATGATTGTCTTTTAGGAACTACAGTCGTGCCTCGCAAGACGAGTGCTTCGTTTTACGACGAAATCGCATAATGACGAAGTTTTTGCGATCGCAAAAGCGACCGCAAAACAATGTTTTCTATGGGTTTTTTTTGCTTTGCGATGATTGGTTCCCTGCTTCGCTAACTGATTCTCGTAAAACGATGATTTTAGAACAGCTGATCAGCGGTTTCAAAATGGCCGCCGAGTAAAAAAAATGACCGCCTGCTGTTTTCTGGGATGGATTCCTCGCTGCACAGGCAGCGAAAATGGCCGTGCTATGGTGGATCTTCACTGGACGGTGAGTTTCAAGCCCATAGGAACGCATTAATCGGGTTTTAATGTGTTTCTATGGGCTTTTAAAAATCGCTTTATGATGTTTTCGTTCTACAGCGATTTCGCTGGAATGAATTAACATCGTAATGCAAGGCACCACTGTACTAACAATCAATGCAAAATATCTTCTAGCTATTGGGAAATATTCAGTAAGGTTCTGCAGTTATGTTTAAAACAGGTGTGGGCAGTTTGCAACTTTTGCTTGCCATTCCCTTGGGCCCGCAGGTGATTTCAAATGCCCTCTGTAAGAAATTGGCTCTAGTCAATTATGTCCTTTGCCCAACAGCCAGCTGGGTGGGGAGGAAGCAGGAGTGTGAGAGAAGGAGAGGGAGAAGCAAGAGGTGTGGGAGAAAGAGAAGAAGAAAGGGAGCTGTCCTGCCCACTTTTGGCTTGTCCCACTCACCATTGGCTTCAAACCAATGGGAATGTGTCTTCCCATAGAAGAAAAGAACCTACCTATTGGGTGTCATGGGAAAGCAGGATATGATCATACTGGCTAGAGGACAACCATCTTACAAGGAGAGACATTTGTGTTTCTCTGAAATAAGGAGTTGGGATCTCTCATCATATTTTCAAACCCTTAAGCAGAACATGAGTCCCAAGGTTATTTAAGGAGGGCCAGGAGCATTTTTTAAAGAGGTGCAAAGGCAACTCAGATTTATAGTCTAATATAATGTAAAATGAGAGTAATTTAAAATGATATTAAACTATCTACTTTGTTTCAGTTTTTTACCTATGCGGTGTGTTTTTCCCAAGTATATAGACATGTCTTAATATTAGGTGGAGAATATATTTTAAACATAGAGGATCAATACTTGAATGTTTCTTTGTTTCATCAACCCAAGAATATAATTCCAATGTCTACAATCTCCTCCCATATTATATCTGTGATTAACTGCAGGCTCTTTGGTTTCATCACCAGAAAGATTGTTTGTTGCCTCATTGTATTAAGAGTTCTGCAGAGTTCAGTGGCTTAAATTATCTGACTGTAGAACCAGAGGTTGGGAGTTCAGCTCCTGCAAGAAGAGCCAACCTGTTGATGCCATACAGTTGTTGTTATTATTATTTATTTATTTATTAGAGTTCTTCATAGCTGGCTGGGTAGCTCTGTGTGTTAGTTATCTGGTTGCAGAGCCAGAGACTGGGAGTTCAATTCCATACTGTGCACCCCAGAAGAGCCAGCTTGTGTTGTCTTGGGCAAACTGCACAGTCCGAGGATGCTCCCAGAAGAAGGGACAGTGGTGCCTCGCATTACGTTAATTCGTTCCAGTGAAATCGCTGTAGAATGAAAACGTCGTAATACGAAATTAAAAAGCCCATAGAAACTCATTAAAACCCGATTAATGCGTTCCTAGGGGCTTGAAACTCACCGTCCAGCGAAGACCCTCCATAGCACGGCCATTTTCGCTGCCCATGCAGCGAGGAATCCATCCCAGAAAAGAGCGGGGAGCCATGTTTTTTACCTGGTGGTGATTTTGAAACCACCGATCAGCTGTTCTAAAATCATTGTTTTGCAAGAATCGGTTCCCGAAGCAGGAACGGATCATCGCAAAGCAAAATTCCCCCATAGGAAACATCGTCTTTGCAATCGCAAAACCTTCAACGTAAAGCGATTTTGTCATAAAACGGAGCGCTCGTAATGCGAGGCACCACTGTACAGTAATGGTAAACCATTTCTGAGTACTTTCTACCTAGAAAACACTGAAAAAGGGTTGCTATAAGTCTTGATTGACTTGTTGGCACATACAGCGGTGCCCCGCAAGACGAAAGTAATTCGTTCCACAAGTAGCACTGTCTTGTGAAATTTTCATCTTGTGAAAAGCGGTTTTCCATAGGAATGCATTGCAATGCATTCCTATAGGAAACCTCGCAAGACGAATGAATTATTTTCATCTTGTGAGGCATCAGTCTTGGGGGGAAAAATCGTCTTGCGAAGCACGGCCAGAGGAGAAGATGTCTTGCGAGGCACCATAGTTATCACAAAAACCATTCGTCTTGCAGGTTTTTGTCCCATGAGGTGTTCGTCTTGTGAGGCACCACTGTAATTATTATTAATTAGAGTTCTGTGTGCTTTTATGTGACCTTTGGGATGGTTTAATAAGTTGTTGCCTGAATATGGACTTCAAAAGGCTTCTTTTCAACAATTATTTGCTGTTTCAGAACAGAGGCAGATGCTGCATTTCAGTCATCCAAATCAAGGTGCATAGTGCCTAAAGTCACTGAGTTATCCTGAGACTTGAGATAGAAATTCTCACCAACAACTCTCCCATTCCAATCAGTAAACAAGCAATAATAAATCAGAAATCCACTATTGTTTCTTGATTCTGGTCTCATTCTGCCTAGGGTTAGCCATGTTTCTTTTGGTGCTTGTTGTTTTTTTGGAGGGAATGCAAAACTGGGAGCACTTCCAGATGCTATTTTCTCATGCACCTTTAAACATAGCATGTAGATTCTGTGGAGTTATTGTTTTCAAATTCATTTCAGTTTTGAAGTACTTTAAAAACATTTTACTGTGCAGTAGACAATGAAACAAAATACATATATTTTGTTTGTTCAGCACAATTATAATTTCCTAATGTTATATGAAAGAGAGGTGCTCTTTTTGCGAAATTGTTCTCAGAAATCTGTTTTTATTCCCTGTGGTGTTATTCCATAATGAAGAGGGGAGATTCCATTTGGTTGGGAATAGAGATGGGCATGAACCAGAAAAATGATGAATCGGGGTAGTTTGTGGCTATACACAAATCATGACCCACTCGCAAACCCTAGAAAAACTAACTGGTTCACATTTAATTTTTCTGGCGCATGCCTGGGAGGGAGGGGACCTGATGCCTCCATCCTCTCTGCTACCCGCCCATCTGGTCCCTTCCCACTGCCCCTGTTGCTTCCCTACATTGTCCTGCCACCTCCTCCTCTGCTATCTTCAGAGACAGTGATGCAGCTTCCCTTCCAGGAGTTGGGGCTGCTGTCTCTGCACAGGCACCTGCCTATCAGCTGATAGTGTGCACATGCAGAGAGACTGCAGGCCTGGCTCCTGGAAGGGAAGTCAGGCCACTGTCTCTGAAGATGGTGAAAGCGGAGGAGGAAGAGGAGGCGGCAGCAAGACCAGGTAGGGAGGCGACGGGGCAGTGGGAAAGGGGGCAGAGGGCATCTAGTTTCCTGAAGCAAAATGAAGTGCTGAGCAGAGACAAGTCAGGCGCTTGTTTTGTTTCGGCAAAATGGCTTGCATGAACTAAAATTGTCCTGGTTAGTGGTGTGTTTTTTTCCCAGTTTCTAGTTTGGTTTCTTCCCATCTCTAGCTGAGACTTGTAGAGCCCAGTCTCCATCTGCACCTTCGACAATGGGGAAGCTTTCCACTTTCTGCCTCAGCTGGGCTGAAAGGCTGCCGGGCTCTGTTTCTTTAGTTTCTTTTTATAACGCTGCTACTATGTTTGGGAGACTTCTAGCCAAGGCCTATGGAGGTGGGAATGCGAGTGGGATTTGTGACAGACACAATGAGTTGCAAAGACTGCTGTGTCTTGGAGCCAGGAAGAAGAAAACAACAGTGGCTTTTGGTGTCTGCAGTCTACAAAAGTCTCAAATTTGCCCGGTTGAGTTGCTTGCACCACTGTTGTTGTCATGTGTGCTTGCATGCTAGTGATGCCTGTAGGAGGTGTAACAATTTACTGTATATCTGTTACTTTAAAATAGGCACTAGGCATTCATGGTTCTTCTGCCTCATCTTATGGGAATCTGGCCTGTCCTCTAGCCAGCCTCTTTAAGAAGTGCTTCTTCTCCCTTTCCCACAGCAGACTGGAAGGAAAATAACTCCATGGTGATCTGTATATATGGCACTGCAGGAGCAGCTAAACAAATTGTACAACTTCACTCTACATTTTTTAATATGTAACTGGATGTCCTGATTAATTCCCTTTAAATAAGACTCTCCCCTTTAAATGACTCTCACAAGATGATTCATATAGAGACCAATGACAAAGGTGGGGGGCAAGGCTAAATTGTTGTTTCCCTCATGTGTTTGTTTTAACTTCATTGCTAAATGTCTGAATATATGTATCTAGAAATTAATTTTGAAGGAACTGGGTTCCATAAGATATGAAAAATCCCCCCACCAGCTATATAACAATATGGATGTGAAGCTCTCTATCGTTATTTCATTACATTTCTTCAAATTTTACCTGCATTCTAGATATGTCTTTGATAGGCATCACTCTGTTGTAAAAATTCTGGTCTGGTTCCACTGGCAAGTCCAGCCTTTGGGGAACCTGAGAGGGAGAGAAAATGCCACCAAAAAAACAAAAAAAAACAAAAAACAAACAAAACAAAACCCACAAGATAGTAGTCTTCTTAAAATATAGAAAATAAACTGAAAATAACCTGCAGGCTAGGAGAGGAATGGGGCAGTGGCCCAAATCATTCATCTCAGTAGAGTAAAAGGCAAAGGATACCGTTAAGGCATCTTATCCTATAACATGCAAAGATTAGAAGATCAAATGTCTCAACTTCTTGAACAGTTTGCACACAAATTGTTCTGTCATAATCTTGTACTGATGGCATGTTTTCAGCCTTGTGATGAGTTGTGACACATTTATACAAACATCAGAAATACACTGATTACATAGATACAAAGTAGGATACAATAGATGGGTTGGGAATACCAGGGTTTTGCTATATTTGTATTTTCAAAGTGAAGGAATGTTGCTATATTTTAAAAGTCAACAGTCTGTTTTTTTCGCCTTGGTTCTCTCACTCTTGCTCTTTCCAATTCTTTTTTTCTTTTGCAATTCTCATTTTCGCATCCTGCTATTCAATGGTTCCTTCCTTTCTAGAACAGTTAGATGAGCTGGAGAGAATGTTCCAGGAAGACCATTATCCCGACAATGAGAAACGCCGGGAAATTGCTGCCACTGTAGGTGTTACACCACAGCGGGTTATGGTGAGTCCTTGCTGATGACCAAGGATAGGCCTGGCTCAGATAGATCAGCCCTGCCTGTTGACGCACAGTTTAGCAAACTGGGCATAATCATCCAGCTTAAAAGCAAATGGCCTGGTCCTTCAATTTGTCCCTTTTCTTTACATACTATCTTTTAAGCATCAAGCCTGTTTAGCTTGCATTACAGTTCATGTTTGTATCCAAAGTGAGGAAATATGGTTTGGCATCCATTTATTACTTAGAACCTTGAACTACAAAATGGCATTAAATTGTATTCCAGCATTCCAGATGTAACAAGAATCTATACTTCAAGCGAATTGTTCCAAACGTTAGGTCCCCAGATGTTATTTGACTAAAACTTCCAGAAGCCTTCACTGCTGACTGTGCTGGCCAGGATTTCTGTTTTAAGCCAATCAAAATTAGTATGCCAAAATTAGAGTAGGAAGGAGAGTGGAAAGTATGAATGACTGGGGCTGTGGTCAGCTTTCATCAATGTGTTGCCATATGGCTGTGCACACACATGCATATGTTCAGGCAAGCAGTCTGCTTGTCTGAGCAATGTACTGTTGCCACCTCAAACACACGTGGGATTGCTGCTACATTTCTATAAAGAGCAAAAAAGACATATTTTCCCCATAAAAATGAAGTTAATGCAGTCATGTAAATTTTTGGTTTTACCCTAAGGGTGTTCATGTGATTAGACTGCTCATGTGAGGAGGTGTGGTCTGTTTGCCATTGTACAAATCTGCATATGTTTGGAATATACTGAAGAGTATTACACATTATGTTGCTGACAAATTCAAAATAGTTTCTATTGGTCTAATCACACTGAAGGCAGTTTAGTTTAATACAGATGGCTGGCAGGATGTATTTGCACACTTTAAAAGCTTTTGCAATCATATGTAGATGTTGCTCCAGTGCTGTTTTAATTAAATTTATTTGTGCATATTTGCTCTGTATTTATGCTACATGTAAAAGCAGGATGAGCACTTAGGAAATCCTGGTAATCCATTGCACGCAGACCCCTATTCAGTCTTGCCATGGGATTATGGTAGGTACCAGAAAGAGAGAGAGGCTGATGCTGCTCAAGTTTTAAATGTATTTTAAATGCTGTAAGCGGCTCAGAGACCTTTGGGTAGTGTGGGCGGCATATAAATTAATTAAATAAATAAATAAGTTTTCCTCACTTTAAATAAACTCACATGGCCATGTTCAAAATGGGCTGAACAGACAATCAAACACACACAAATACTAGTCTCTAGGAGAAATGGAAGAGACCATTAACCAACTCTCCAATAGAAAAGCCCTAGGGTCAGATCCAGTTCTAGAGGAGATCTGTTTTTAAAAGAAGAGGAAACAATAAGCTCCTCCAACAACTGAGGCACCTATTTCAAAAACATGAACACTAGGCAAAATCACTCAGGACTGTAAAGTTGGAACAGTTGTCCAACTTCTTTTAAAAAAAGAACGGCAACTGTCAACTCTGTGACAGCTACCGAGGCATCACACTTCTGCATGCTGCTGGGAAAATTCTGGCAAGTATACTTCTAAATTCCTTCATAGGAGACTTACCAGAAATTCAACCTAGCTTCTATGATTGGGAAAGGAATTTGGAGGGGATTTTCATTGCAAAAACAGATCCTTGGGAAAGATTTACCTTTTTTCCTACCACTGCTTCTGTGACAAAACTGACAACCCCTGTCAGTCTCCTTTTCACTAGTTGGAAGAGAACACCAATCATGAACTCTCAGTCTCTTGTGTAGTTTTTTTTTGAAGGCGATTACCAGGTTTCAAATTATACACAGTACTTCAAATTATATATGATGCTAAGTCATGCATATTCTTCAGCCCTTTTTTTAATACAGTGGAATCAGCTGTGGATGCTGTAATCTACAGTGGAGAGGGTGGGAGCTCTGGCTAACTGTTTCATCTTTGGCCATTTCCCACTCAAAGTGCCCTTCTGAAGCTGCTTTTGACCCTATGGCAGTGGGAAGCATGTGACTGAAAGAGATGACCCACCTTCCTGATGGTCCTCTGTTCAAGGCTACAGGCCCCACAGATGATTTGGGTATAAAGGAAGGATTCACAGAAGCAGTGTTTTTTTTTATCTGTGACCTTTTGATTCCCCAAACACAAGAGGAGGTCCTTGCATAGGCAGTCAAAATACTTTTCTTAATATACCTTCTCTTTCGAACAATGATTATGTGTATGTGGCTCCAGATTGTGTGTATGTGTGTTCCTTTCATGTTAGGACTCCCCACCTCATTCACTTTATTAGGTCTGGTTCCAGAATCGCAGAGCCAAATGGAGAAAAATAGAAAAACTGACAGTGAAGGAAAACAAGAAGTGTTCAGCTGGAGCATCAACTTTGTCAGTAGTCCCTCAACAAAGCTCTCAAGGGTAAGAATCTTCTGCATCTTAAAATTACAAAATGGAGGTCAGTTCTTAAAAAGAAATGCAGGTGGTACAACAGAGGCATTGTTATCCTTTAACTGTTTCATCCCAGTGCCTTCTTTTATTGCACGGGTTTTGCCTGGTTATGGAATGGTACAAAACCTGCCTGGTTTTTAAAGGCGTCATGATCTATTATCTCTTACCTTTATCATTTTCAGCAGTCTGAGGGGGAAAGATTCCAGCTAAAGAATCAAGTTTAAAAAGCCTACCTGTTGCTGAACTCACAGGAGACAGAAGCGCTTCACCGTTTCCCTTTAATGGTGCTGGAAAGCAAGAAGTCTGATGTATATTCTAAATATCTGTCCAAGATTTCATTTCCAGAGGATATGTGATTTCCTCTAGATTGTAATAAATGATTGTAACAAATCATTTTTTAAAAAATACAATAGAGATTTTAGTAATTTGCAAAAATTCACAGTAAAGTGCAAAAGTGTTCACTTAATAGAGAAAGAAGTGGATGAGAAAGAAAAGAAGAATGAGAGATATCGCTATGCATCCTCTCGGAATTTGAGAAGCCTAATATTATGAGTTCTGCTAGGTCAGACGTGGGCACTGTCCCTTCATATGTTTTTGAATGATGACTCTGGAGATGCCTCACCACAGATGGCCTTGGCTAGAGCTAAGAGCAGATGCAGTCTAACAACATCTGGAAGGCCGTATGTCTCCCAACCCCAGGAAAAGGCCTTCATTTTTTTAAATCCATGTGTAGATCCATTTTTTAAAAAAAATTCTTAAAAAGTGTTTTTTTAAAATATAACTGTGGCAACCCCAGACCTACTGGAGTAAAAAAATTTTCTTAAAAAGTGGTTTTTTAAAATATAACTTTGGTTTTTTTTTAAATAATCCTTAAACAGAAACATTGGGGTTTTTTTTAAATAATCCTTAAACAGAAACAGGTTTCCCTGATGGAAGGGTATATTGGTTAGCACCCAACACTATTACATGAATGGGGTTGTATTTCCTATATCATTTCCTCATCTTTTTCCATGGCCTTGAGATTCTGCACTTTTGTTGCTTGCCTTCCTATCTAGTTCCCTGAAATATCCTGATTTCTGTTTTCTCCATCTATCATGTTATAATTTAAATTAGGGCCGAACAACCAAACTTGAACTAGGAGAACTAAATGGATAGTGCTCTTATGCTGCAGTGATGGGACTTGGAGTAGAACTGGCATCTTCACTGTTTGCTGATGCTTAATGTATTCCTGAAGTGGGTGGAGTACATTCCGGCCACTGGAAATCACCAGTAGTCACCAGACTGTTTCAGGGAACCATCATTGTAGCCCTCAATAATTACCAAAATGTTGCCTCAAATTTGCATTTCCAAGTGGAAGTGACAAAATGGGTGCATCAGCTGCATCAGTCCAGCCCTGAGATGTTAGAGAATATGAAAATGAGAAAAAAAGGGAAGTGTTTCTTGGTATTGTTTTTGCCGGAGTCATTCAGGTATTCTCTTTGTAATGAAATGGCAGGTATCATTCCCTCAGCAGGAAAGGGAATTGAAAATGAAGCAGCAGGAAGAAAGATTTAAATTTAGCACTATTTGTTTCTGACTCTGTTCATGTTTAACTTTGTTTCCAGGGCAATGCTGCAAACTGTGCCCCAGTTGTCTGACCCTATGAATGATCAGCCTGCTACACTCATGGTGGGCACAGCAACTGTCAACTATTCTAGCATATTGACAGGGCAGCCTGCATCCCTGGTCTCCACATCAGGTGAGAACTGGCTCAATTGGATTTTAGTTTGGTTGGCCCTTCCCTTGTTCCCTGCTGCTAACAAGGCCCTTTATCCCCAGCCCCATTGCTTTGTTTCTCCTGAACAGTGCCGTTTTGTACATTATGCAGCACCAGAATTAAGACTATGATATCTTTATACGGTACAATCCCGTTGTGGGAAAGAATGAAGCTGCTGATGAAGTGTGGGGCTGCATATTGTTTTAAAGGAGAGTTTCAGCTCCTAGAAGCTTCCAGGAATGGTGTTTCTCCTTTTGTTGTTGCAAAAAAAAAAAAAAAAATGATAGGCAGTGGTGGTACCATAGAAGCAGGTGTGTGTGGGTGCCTGTGACCCACATGTTGTGTGACTGACACCTGACCTATTGGGTAAGAGCATTGGCAGGGCTGCCCCTTAGATTTTCATGGGGAATAGAAGACACATAAGTGAGCAGTCTATGGGATCTTAGCTCAGTTCCTTCAAGGAACAGCTAATTCTTACCCTATTAGGATTTTGCAGCAGACATGTGCAGGGCAGTGCACTAGTTTTTCTTGCACACATTCACAAAATCCTATGCACACAATGCGTTTATATCTACTAAGACTGCCTTTAGCCTTAGGATGTAGTCTGTAGAATGCAAGTCTGGACCACATGTCCAGTTGTCATATGCACCAAACATTACTTTTTATTGCTTGGTGCTAAACCCCACCCCCACCCCAATGAGAGGTGGAAGTTTTTGCTGACGTGTGAATTCTCCTCCCACTTGTTTACCAGAAAGTGATCCAGTTCCCATGCTGTAGGATGACTATGGGATGAGGGTTGAGCAGTATGAAGTTAAGATTGTTAACTTTAAAACAATAGATTCTGCCCTTATATTAGAAATAGGAAGTGCAGCCTGACCCAGCCTTTGGACTAATTGTTTTCAGTTTGAAAGATCCCAGCTTCCTAAGGAAAAAAGAAAAATCATAGATAAGGAAAATGCCCCACTGTTCCACAGGACCTGAGGTTTTTCAGCATTCCTGGATAAACATCACTGAAAAAGAAGGGGCGCTTGGCTTTATTGTGAAAATTCATTGTCCAGCTGGTGAAGATTATTCTGACACACTTCAACTGTTCTTGTTACTGCAGTTGAAGTAAGGTGCGGAGTGACTGCAAATTAGGGATCTCTGTTTTCAGTTCAGAATAATCTGGGTACTTCAAAAATGGGAGTAGTGGATGATATTTCTGTCTGTCTTTTCTTCTGGTGGAAGGAGGCATCCAGAAGGAAGGGTTGACAGCTAGCTATGGCCCAGGAAGGCAGAGATCATTTGGCCTTGCTTTTTGGCCTAGAAGTTGGGATCCTAGGTTCTTCCACAAATCCTTCCCTTCTTTTACCCAGTACAGAGTTTTTTTTCTGAGGTCTTCACCCATTTCTGCTGATGAACCCCTACTCGAGCTTCCCAACAGCAACAGTGCTAACTTTGGTCAACTGCTGAATATCTTGTGTCGTGTAGCCTGTGCTGCCCTCCAAGGTGACCAACAAGACACTTAACACTCCATGACTATGCCTCAGTCAGTCACCTGGCACTTCTGGCTTACTCCAGTTACCAGGTATCATCTGCTTTTTTTTTTAGCTTTGGGTGATGCCAGTCATAGTTTCCTAGCCCTCCATCTATTTATGAGCTCCTAGAAATCTCCTCCTCAGGGTCTGAGCACATTCCTGCCTATAATTCCTTATGCTTCCACCTGATGGCGGCATTGGCTCAGAGGTCTCTCGGCACCATACTCTGCACAGGTCTGTCCCAAATAATCAGGTCCTCAGCCTTCCTAGCAGAGGTTAGCCAGGATACAGCATTCTCCTTAGCCAGAGCTGTTGCAATCTTTAGGGTCATTTGTGAATCAGATTGTTGTGGCAAAGGGGGCAATATGTCTACTTCCTCATTCCAGGAGTCTAGTTTTACAACATTGTGTCTCCTAGGAATATTTTGGTTTAAACTAAGTAGTGCAAGAAATAATGCCTCCTCAAACAAGGAAGATTTAAAGTCTCAGGGCAGTGCATATTCTCTTCAAGCATATAGGACCTCAGGACAATCCTCCTTTTGTTTAGTAGTGCAGTGGGGAATATGTGGCCTGCAGGTCAGGTGCACCCGCAGGGCCATATTTGCAGAACCCAAGCCTGACATGACCTCTGGAAGGGGGACAATTTTGCCATCTTTCTGAAGGTCCACAGCACCCTGATACCCCGACCCTCTCAACTCATTTTAATGTTGCTTTTGCGTTTAAAAAATATAGTGGCCACTAGAGGGCACAATGGCCTTTTCATTATAATATTTTAAAAGTGAAATCCCCTTTTTATTTAACAAAAACTCATTGTACAAAATACAACTACTGAATTAAATTTTAAAAAACTTAAAAATTATATATGCAAATATGATAAGTATTAGCCTTCCATTCTCCTCAGCATTTTTGAGATATTACCTTGAATAAGATGTTTAAAGTAGACTACATCTGAAGGTTTTTCCAGTCTTGCTAATGTTGTTAAAAAGCAGTTTCCACTGCTTTTTAAGATGTTAGACAGAATCTTAAAAAGCAGAGACCTCACCTTGCTGACAAGGATCCGCATAGTCCAAGCTATGGTTTTTCCAGTAGTGATGTATGGAAGTGAGAGCTGGACCATAAAGAAGGCTGACCGCCGAAGAATTGATGCTTTTGAATTGTGCTGCTAGAGGAGGCTCTTGAGAGTCCCCTGGACTGCAAGGAGAACCAACTTATCCATTTTGAAGGAAATCAACCCTGAGCGCTCACTGGAAGGACAGATCCTGAAGCTGAGGCTCCAATACTTTGGCCATCTCATGAGAAGAGAAGACTCCCTGGAAAAGACCCTGATGTTGGGAAAGTGTGAGGGCAAGAGAAGAAGGAGATGACAGAGGATGAGATGGTTGGAGAGTGTCATTGAAGCTACCAACATGAATTTGACCCAACTCCGGGAGGCAGTGGAAGACAGGAGGGCCTGGCGTCCTCTAGTCCATGGGGTCTTGAAGAGTCGGACATGACTAAACGACTCAACAGCAATTTCCCACTGTTTCCTGCTTCAATTGTTCCTGAAGTTGGGGTAGGTGAGGGTGTCCTGCTGTCACTGAGTGGGATAATAAAACCTTTAGAACAGTAGTTTCCAACCTTCAGTCCCCAGATGTTATTGGATTAAAATTCTCAGAAGGCTTCGCCACTAGCTGTTCTGCCCAGGATTTCTAGGAGTTGGGATCCCAAGGTTGAGAATCACTGCTCTAGAATAAGTGGAAAGAGTACTCTGCTTCAGAATAACCTCGAATCCTCTGAAAAGAATTAACATTCCTGTCTTAGGGTACAATCAGAGAGCTTCAAAGGTTCATGTCTGAGCACAAAGCTAAAGATTGGTTTAATGGGAACAGTCTTTCTTAAAGCAGTCCTTTTATCTATGGGAGAATCACTTCAGCTGCCTCCCAACATTAGAAGCTCTACAATTGGACCCAATATGTCCACCTTGGCCACAGGTGGTTGGAGCAAAAGAGGAGCACATTTCCTCTTGTGTTGTGTGAGCCTCATGGCACAGTGGTTAAACTGCTGCATTGCAGCCAAAACTGTGCTCATGACCCAGGATTCAATTCCAGGTAGCCGGCTCAAGGTTGACTCAGCCTTCTATCCTTCCAAGGTAGGTAAAATCAGTAGCCAGCTCTTTAGGGGGAAGGTTTAATGTGTAGCTTGCATAATTAACTGGCAAACCACCGAAAGAGTGCTTGAAGTGCTATGGGGTGGTATATACCAGTCTCTTTCACAACTCCTCAAGCCTACACAAAGCTTTAGTGAATGAATGTTGGCACATGCACATATGGTGCTGTGTATATTGTCACATTTGCAGGATGAGCAGATACTAAAGATTATTTTAGTATGAATGCTACCTCCTTTCCATTAGCTCATTCATGCCCACTCACTTGTTTGCATCAACTTGGTTGTTGTAGGCTAGTGGTTCCCAACCTTGAGTTCCCAGATGAAATGCTACCTCCTTTCCATTACCTCATTCATGCCCACTCTCTTGTTTGCATCAGCTTGGTTGTTGTAGGCTAGTGGTTCCCAGCCTTGAGTTCCCAGATGGACTAAAACTCCCAGAAGCCTTCACCACTGGCTATGTTGACCAGGATTTCTGGGAGTTGTAGTGCAAGTACATCTGGATACCCAAGGTTGGGAACCATTGCTTTAGGCTAAATTTGCACAGTATCTTATGCCCAGGACAAACACTGTCACTTGGTGTTCTTCAGCTAGTCACTGGCCATGGATTTTATATGCATGTTTAGGCAATCCTAGTCAGCAAAAACAGGTTTCTTGAACACCTCATGGGCTGGCCATATTAGTGGGCCATACCTTTAGCTTGGTTGCAAAGTATAGAAGCTGAGCCCAGATAATAAAATTGAGCAAAACATTTCTTCATCTGGTACTTTTCAAATCTACTTTTAAAGGTTTTTTTATTTGTTTTTTAACTTGTAATTGGGAGAAATGTGCAGTTGGTAAAATGTGCAGTTGGAAACTGGTAGATATACAAGAGGAGAAATGGGGAAAATTAGACAGGTTATGTGTATGTCTTTTTAAAAAAAACCCTAGGTAGTAAGCAGTCCATATAACACAATTTATATAAGAATTCAGAAGTGCTTGGTTTCCATACTTAAACTGCCCAAATCATATTGCAACAATTTCCTTTTGACTGGAACCTCCTGTTCTTCAGTTTCATTGGTACTGGAAGCCTTGCAAGGTTTTGTTTGTTTGTTTGTTTATTTATTTATTGGATTTTTACCACCACCACCCAGACCATGTCTACTCCGGGCGGCTTACATAGATAAAACTTACACAGTTTTACAGACTGTGGTGTAAGAGATGTTAAAGCAAAACTCATCTTGAATCCTAGTATTTGGCTTCTGGGGATGTTGGTGGTCTGACAGGGCATTTGCCAGTTGGAAAAATTGATTTAGTTCAGCAGAGTTCAACATTTGGAATAGAGACGTTTTGTAGTGTTATTCAGCTGCAACTAGCAGTATTCTACCCACAATTTGAGACTGGATCTTTGAACTCAATTTTACTTTTGTTGGAATGCCAGCAAAAGCCAGTAGATTGTACTAGTAAATGGCACAGGATTAAGGGTCAAGTCATAGATAAAGGCAAACGTGTATTTTATCCTTTTACAATGTTCTCCCAGCAGGCGTTCCAGTCTTTCAGTGCTGTGTGCCAGAGTCATAAGAAATGCAAATAAAGGTGTGCAGTCTTCCAGTTGTACATTTGTAAAACAAATACCTATTCATCTGCTACATATATATTGAGGCAAGGTGGTGCTGGAAGAACCATACCTTCTTTTCTTCTTAAGGGTTCACTAATTTCAGATACCTAATTAGTTTCTTTTGTGGCATGGACCTTACCCAGCAATTGGAAATCACATACTTGTTTTGAAGAGAAGCAGATATAAATGAGAGGGGTATTGTTGTCTTAATAATCTGAATTGCTGTATTAAGCAGTCTGTATTATCTCTTACTTAATTTTGTATTATTTTGCAAGTTACTGGCCAAAATCCTGTTGCTTAGTGTGACAAATACCACTAGGGTAGGCCTATTAAATCAGTGAAATTTTGTACATCATCTACTCCATTAGTTCCATTTATTCAAATTGGTCTACTCTAACTAAAACATACTTTAGCACAGTGAGTTGTAGGTAGAGTAGGCTCATTTGAATCATTTGTGGCATTGTGTGTTTCAAAGACATAAAATAGCTGCTGTGGTCTCAGAACATTTTAGTTTAAGCCACCCAGTACCCTGAGATCCTAATGAAAACTCATGGTCCTAGAAAGGAAAATTCCGTTCATGAAAATAAGAAGTTCTGTCCCACAACACTTAGCAGTTTTGGGATTATAAATAAGTTTAGGCTTTGAAGCAAGAGGGAAAAAATTAACCCCTTTACATGTACACCAAGGTTCTTAAGTATTGTTCTAAGTATTCCTACTATATAGTATTATGATTTTAAATATATACTGTCTATATATACACAGAGACCCAGTTCAAATGATGTGGTAAGCCAGGGATCTACAGGAACCCTGGCTCAGCATAGCTGAGCAGTGTGCTGATCCACACTGTTTAATCACTCTGTTGTCAACAGGAAAGCTTTGTTCCACCGTTTGGCAGCCAACATCTTTCATGGTGTGTTCTTGGCTGCCAACATCTTCCCTTTTCTGGCTTGTTCCTAATCAACAAACCAGAGAAGGAACTTGATTTCTTTCTCTGGTTTGTGGGAAGGAAACATACTAGAAAAGGGAAGCTGCCAATTGCCAGAAAGCACAATAAACAAACCATGGATAGAAGTTGTGTGGTTAGTGGCAATGTCTGAGTAGTATATTTAAGCTCACAGCACATAGCTCCTTGTTGATAACAATTCAGCATATTGTATGGATTTGACTAATGACAATTCTCATGCTTAAGGTCTCATGGAGTTGTTCAACGGTAATGAGCCTTATGGTCACTGTGGCTTGCTAATTCTTAGACTGAAACTCAGTATAAAGGTCAAACTCCTGTATTACAGAATGAAGAGGGAAAGTTCCATTGAGCTGCTTTAATATTTTTATCTTTAAGCATTAAGTATGGTTTAGGAAAAAAAGTAGGATATAAATATGAAATAATTTATAAATTTTGCATCATGTTACTTAACAGTCTTCGTTATCATCTCCTTGATGAGGCCAGGAAGAACAGCAGCTTCCTAATGATGATGTGCAGTATCTTTAAGCATTAAGTATGGTTCAGGAAAAAAGTAGGATATAAATATGAAATAATGTATAAGTTTTGCATCATGTTACTTAACAGTCTTCATTATCATCTCCCTGATGAGGGCAGGGAGAACAGCAGCTTCCTAATGATGATGTGCATTTGAATGCTAGAATACACTATCCATACAGTAGAAATACTCCAGAAAAAGATGTTTCAATCTCAGCAAATGAAGAGAAATTGTGCATTTACTCTGCATCCCTCTCTCCCATGTCTGGCAATGCGTGAACTGTCCATACTTACTGTTTACCTTCAGGGATAAAATTTACAGGTAGCATCTGACAGGTCAGTGCTGATAGATGTAGTGCAGACAGATCCAGTTGCAGAAATACACAAACAGTTCTGAATCCTCCCAGCATCACTTATTCTCTTTGCTAAAAGAATATGATATAAAAGCTTGTTACCTCTTCCTTGTCTCATACTGTCTCATAGATGTCCATAATACCTGTCATAAACAAACCAGGAAGGAAGTTCTTACACTTACTTTGTTTCAAGAATAATAAGCTTGAGTAGATGTCCAGAATGTGGGGAAAAAAACAAATCAGTTCATAATCATGCAGAGGCAAACCAGAAAATTATGGATGGTACACTTGTATAATTGTTCTGCTCTTATGTGCTGTCAACTTGCACCCAGTGAGTTTCCATGGCCAAGCAGGGATTTGAAACCAGGTCTCCTTTGTTTCCTATCCACTCTATCCATTACAGCTCACATGTCATTATTACTATATGATATTTGTGACTACCTGCTTGTCGAAGGTTTCAGTTGTATACTTTAGGGCCATGCATGAAAAATGCAAACTTGGGAGCCACTGTCCTAGAAAGCAGGCGAGAGTGCACCTCTTCTTCTTTTAACATGCCAGTTTTTCAGAACAACAGGGAGAGTTAGCTTTCGTTTGATTTTTGTGTGCTTTTGTTTTTGCAGTGTTTCATCCCTAAAAAATTTTTATTCCCATTGTACCAACTTTCTACTCTTGACTCTGCTATTTTACTTTCATGTATGACACATCCTTTCTTTTCCCTTTACAGTTGCCTCAGTTACTGGCAGGACAACCCCATATGAATCTGTCCAGACAAAGCCCGTGCCCCAGGGCACCTTCTCTTCTCTTAAGGAAGAAATATTTCCTGGCATTCCAAGTCCTCCACCCATCCGTAGAGCTAGTTTGCCTCTCAATGTGGCGATAAACCAAAACAATCCAATTGTTCCATTGATGTTGGATAGTCCCAGCAGTGAATATAGCCCAGCCAGCCAGGAAAGCAGCTCCAGTGATACCTTCACCTACAGCATCCAGAGCCAAAGGTAAGGAAGTAGCCACATACGATAACTTAGTAGAGAGAGCTTGGAACATGATGTTCAAAATCAGTGTCATACACTATTGATTATTAAGTCACTCCTATGAATTTGGTGTCATCAGCAGGGAAACTGTTAAGATTATCATCATTATCTGGTGTATTATTCATTAGTATAATCCATTACTTTCAAAAGAAACCACAAGACTAACTATTAGATTAAAACTAGACTGGTAGTAATTAGCAACCCTACCTGGAAATTTGTGGGATGAGAGGGAAGTTGGAGGGGAGCAATATTTCATCAGTTTTTCCATTTTGATATAGACCATCTGAGAAATGGTTGTAGCTTGTATCAAGGAAATATAGCAAATATAAATATAACAAAAGCAATGTATACAAACAAATAGCAAGTGGTCTTCTGTATTACACTGAGAGCTAAATATTGCATTGGTAGTAGAGATTAAAGCTGTGCTAGGATTTGGAATGGACACATGAGAAATATAGCTAAAACTTGCTGCCTTGTCATGGCAAAGGGGATGAGTAATTCAGAGAAGCTATGGGCTATGACATGCAGGGACACCCAAGACAGACAGGTCGTAGTGGAGAATTCTGATTAAACGCGATCTACATGGAGCAGGAATTGGCAAGCCACTCCAATATCTTTGCCAAGAAAACTCCATAAACAAAAACAAAAGGCTAAAAGAGATAACGCTGGAAGATGAGCCCCTCAGGTCGTAAAGTGTCCAACATGCTACTGAAGAAGAGCGGAGGACAAGTACAAGTAGCTCCAGAGCTAATGAAGAGGTTGGGCCAAAGCCGAAAGGACGCTCAGCTGCAGACGTGCCTGGAAGTGAAAGGAAAGTCCAATGCTGCAAAGAAAAATACTGCATAGGAACCTGGAATGTAAGATCTATGAACCTTGGGAAGCTGGATGTGGTCA